AGATCATTTTTGTTATTATTATAATAGTACTGTATGCTTAGTTCTAATGTCAAACTGAATATATTGTTATGTCGCTTCAGAACATCCACACTGAATGCCCAATGAGATCGAGATGTAGACGACAGAATAATCATGAACCATCTTTTAAAGTGATAAAGAGCGATATAGATGTTAATCTACTCTCTAGATAATATATAAGCAAGCAGAAGCTTATATTGATGTAAGTAAAATAGTTATTTCAATATTGCTTACAAACATGTACCTAGCCCCTCGGTCAGTTGTCGATAGTCGATGTGAGCACATCCAACAGTCAGAGAATTAGATTATGAACTGTATATTTTTTTCTATAAAATATTGTTCTTCTTGTCGTTTTACAGTGCAAAGATACACACTATGTGGAAAGCTACAACAATGTATGTTTGCTGTACCAAGACAAACGTGTTGTATTTGGCAGTGATATGTACAAGTTGAGAAGCGATCTTACCTGCTTAGATTGGATATGTATGCAACTGGTTTATACTATAAGACATATGCACAGGGCGGACAATATTTCATGATGTAACTCACTGAACTCTCTTATTAAAATTCACAGAATGAGAACGTAGACAGAAACGCAACATCCGACTTGTAAGTGCAAAAAATTGCTAAAAAAACTTATTTTTATCTTCATTTTTTTCGCCCGCCGCATAACAACCAAGTTGCATTTTCGTTGGAGTATCATGATCAAAATACCGAAGTCTCGCGCAGATGAGAAACAAGGTTATACATGGAATAAAATTTTATTTCATTTCTTCTCTCCGATCGATGATCTCACTAACAATTTGTTGAGAATCACACAAATCTAATGGAAAAAAAGAATTAATTTTATTTGTTTCCGCCCTCCTCAAAAAATGCCTTATAAAAACTCGAGAAACAAGGAATAAAAAAAGTCTGGCCTTAACGGGGTGCCTCAGTATTTTCTGTTCCGGTTTTGTGTCATGGTGTATGCGCATAGTCCCAAAATGGCTCGTCTCAGAAACTTGAAGTATATAGTTAGTGGACACACAACTATATCATCGAAAATGACCGTTTTCGAAGCCATATGCAAAAAATAATCCACAGAAAAATAAAACTATGCAATGTATCAACTGGGCGTGGGACCACACCAATGCATCAGGTGATTGTTCAATCGCAGACGTGAATTCACGTAGCAGACGATGAACTCAACTTGACCTTTCGATGTGTCGCCATGTTTTACAGTAGAAAAGGAATTTCACGGAATGATGCACCGTCTCAAATTTATTATCTTTGCTATTACCATGTATCAGTAGCAGCATTCATGAGAGTGAAAGTGTGAGCGCCGTGCAGCGAATTTTTTTTTTTTTATCGCTGACCACAGCGTGACTTCATTCTAAGCCATGGTCATCGCCGTGGCATCGTGGTTCAACGATACGAGGATGGCAAATGTCTCGATACGGTAAATCCGCAGTTCACACGAACGCTATTGTTGACATAAGCAAGAGTCAATGTCATATTACTCCGTAACATGTCCCTTATTAACTGCGTTATTCGTTTTGTCGTTACGGGATGCCTATGTAGCTCAGGTTCACAGGGGCGTCGATCATTGGGGGGGGG